AGGCATCCTTCAGTCTCGAGAGACTATGGTAACATGCTCTGAATCGAGGAGTGTCCTCTCCAGAGCATGAAGCCCGGGTAAGGTAATCGCCTCGGGGGAAGAGAGGGGAGCCCGTGTCAGCCCCGGCGGGCTCCGGCGGCTGGCGCTCGGTGCAAGTGGAGGCGGGGGGGTAAAGAAAGGTGCCTCTGAGCGAGCGCAGAGCGCCTCTCCTCCAGACAGCGGCGCCACCCGAGGAAAGCGCGCGCCCTCTCCCTTTCGGGATCCGGGGAGGGCCGTTTAAGAAGGCTTGCAGCCCCTCCCTCCCCATCGCCCCCTCCCTCTTGAGCCTCCGAGGCCCCCTCCCGCAGCCCCTTCTGGAAAGAGGAGGGGGGACGTCCGGCCCCCAAAGCCCCTCCTTCCTCGGCCCCTGGGTGCCCCAGTAGCAACTGGTGACGCTGCCCTCCCCCTCCCGACTGCCCAGCGATGTCCCCAGGCAGGGTGTGTGTGTGTGTGTGTGAGAGAGAGAGGGGGGGGCTAGGTGAGTTTTAGCCGGCATAACCGACAGGTGCCGCCCCCTCCTCCCTCCCCTCTGTTGAGATCTCGCATCCCTTGCCGGCTGCCACCCACAAACGCTTATGCCAGGTAAAGCCTGCGAGCCCCGCCCGGAAGCGTCCCCAAGACCCTTGCTTGGCACCCCTGCCTGGGCAGCAGTGGAAATAGCGAGGAGCCTCTCTCGCCCTTTGCTCCAGGCCAGCCGGACGAGAGGTCTGGACAGTCGTAGCCCCAGCAGGGAGGTCCCTCTGAGAGAAGCCGCCCCGGTGTGAGGGGGGACCTCGGCAGAAAAAGGAAGCCCCCTTCCATTCGCTGGGAGTTCCTCTGCCTGCCTAAGTCCTCAAATCCTTGTAGAAATCTTCTGGGTCACACAGAACTCTGTTCCGGACAGAAGACTCTGGTCATGTGGTGACCTCTGGGATAAAGAAGGAAGGGAGAGAGAGGCCAGCCAGCAGTGTCATACCCATGCTCCAACCTCCTCCTCGGGGCCGTTGATCTGGCGTAGCCCAGAGGGAGCACGGTGTACAGGTGTTGCCCTCCCCCCAGCATGGCGGCCTCGGAAGGCGTGTTTGCCGAAGGATATACACCTTGCCCACAGCTGGGATCCCAAGCCTTCTGAGCCTCCACCCCAGCACATCCTCCTCGTAAGAGTTGAGCTGGCTCGAACCGCCGACAAAGCCCTCCGTGGCTTGGGCCCACGCAATCTCAAAGACGGCGTCTCCCTTTAGGAACCTGCTTGATCGTCCGGAGAGGCTTTCCTCTCCGTCCCACCACCTTCCCAGGTGCACTGGGTGAGGACATGGGGCAGGGCCTTCTCTGTGGCTGCTCCCAGAGACTCTGGAACTCCCTCCCACTGGAGGCCAGCCTGGCCCCATCTTGGCTCTCCTTCTGCAAGCAGGCAGGCTCCTCTCTCTTCAGGCAGGCTTTCTTTTAATGGCTGGTTACCTGAGTGTTATTTTTTATTTTTTGTATGGATTGTTGTATTTTACTACATTGAATGTGTTTTTGGTGTTGTTTATGTTTACTGGCTTTTAGTGTGATCTTTGCTTGACCTTTTTTAAAGTATTTGTATACTTATGTCTTTTAATGATGGAAGTCACCTTGAGTCCTTTTTAAGGACAAAGGTGGGGTAAAAATATTTAAAATAAATAAAGTTCCTGAGTGGCCCGATGCTCCCACCAAGGGCAGTTGCCTGGTGTCATTTCCTTATTTGTTCATCGAAAACAAGTTCAGTCCAAATAAGAAATAACTCGGGCCTCTGTGCTCCTGCGCCGCGGCCCCCAGCCTAGTCTTACGGAGATTTTTATGGAGAGTTTTCTCGCGCCCAACCAGCCATTGTTGAACCACTGACTTATTTTGAGCACAAAACAGGCAAAGCCCTGCGGAGCCCGGAGGCCGGCTCTTAATCAGCATCTCCGGCTGATGCAGTTCCTCTAGCCGCCATCTGCGGGGCAGGGGCAGCCGAAAGCGCACCCAGGGAAATCCAGGCCAGGGACCCCCCCCCTCCGGTCCCATGGCAGTGGGGCCCCTCCGTGGGCACCCGGCAGGGGGTCGCCCTCGCCCTCGCCACCAGAGCTCCCGAATACGGTGGAGGAGGCAGCCGCTGCTTCTGCTGGGGTGACTCTTTCCCCTACTTGGCCCTCGCCCAGCGCCACGTGATGGAAACAAACGGCCAGGGCAGCTCCGGGCCCCTGGCCAGCAGAGAAACAGGAGCCTCAGTGGCCATTCCTGCCCACTTGACGGAGTGGCTGGCCAAGGCGATGGGGGCCCTTCCTCCTCTTCCCCCCCCCGCACCACCTGGGAAGATGACAGGTCAGAGGGAGGGAGGAGGCCTCTGAGCTCATCACGCAGGGAGGGGGCGATGAGCTACAGAACACTTTGGTAATGCTTGGGTCTTGCTGGGGCAACACCTGGCCCTGGAACCAAGGGGTTAATTGCTGCGCCCCCCCCACCCCCCAATATGCCTGGAGAACAAGGGGAGGGCCAGAAAACTATGACGTTGGGGCTCTGATAGGGAGAGGCTGTCCAGCTTGGGGGTTGCAAACTTTGCAGCACATTTTTGCAGTGTGGGGGTTTCCTCCTCCGACCTTCAGGACGGGAGGAAGCCTGGGGGCCGAACAGAAGGCGCTTCAGCCGGGATGCAACAGGAGGGAGGGAGGGAGGGAGGGAGAGAAGCGGCAGCTCAGATGTTTGGGGGAAGTGGCCAGGAGGGGAAATAAATAAGAAGAGGCTTTTTAAAGGAGGGGGAAGGAGGCGCCCCCCCCAGGCCGCTGTGGACGGCATCCTCACCAGGTATTAAGCCCTGCTTGTCAGAGGGTGTTCCAGGCAGAGAACCCGGCTGTCCGCTGGTTCGTTGTAGCAAAAACGAGGGGTCTTGCGACCCCTTAATGCCACATGGGTTTTAGGGGGCCAAAGTGTGTGTGTGTGTGTGGGGGGACCGTATCTGAAGACGTGGGCTGCTGCAGAGTCCATAAAAGCTCTTAACCCCCCCCAACAGAACATGCCAGTTTTGAAAGGATCACAAGATTTTTTTCCTCCTGGAACAGGCTGCTCAGCTGTATAAACTGGATCCTGTTCTTTGCAGCCTGTTTTGGGGTCGTCATTTTAGGCAGGGGAGGGGTCTCAGGACTGCGGTGCGAGGAGAAGCTTCACCTGCTGAGCTTCTGCCTGGCAAGCAGAACTTCCATGTGAATTCTGCCTCCTAAACTGACGCCACAGCCAGGTTCTTGGGTGTGTGGGGGGGAGGGGGGACTGTCCCTGCCAGCACAACCCCCCCCCCCGGGCTGCCCCTTTAAAGGGAGCTGGGAGGCAGAGGCGCCTTTCCCTGGAGATTCCGTGGCAGTTGGGGGGCCAAGCGGAAGGCGGCCTCCCCCTGTTCCTGGGAGGGAAAAGGTCGACCCAGCAGGTAAAGGCCAGGTGTGCCCAAGGCTCCCCTTTCCCACGCTTGGCAGGCGAGGCCTTTGCTGCTTGCTGCTGGTGGGGGCAACCTTGCAGGGGCCTCCTTGACCCCCTTCCCCCCCCAGAAGTATTACCCAAAAGCGCCGGGGGATGCGTTCCCACCTCTGGAAGCGTCTCGCCTCCTCTCTGTGCCAGCGTCCGAAGGTGGAGATCAGCCTCTGAGGCCCCGCTGGGCATTGCGCCACCAGAAGGGGAGAAGAGGTCAACCCAGGGTGGCAGAGCCTTTTTTGGAGGGGGGGGTTTCCCTGGCTTCGGAACAGGTTAGGCTGGCCTGGTGAGCTCTTCCATGAACCCCCTCTTTGCCCTGGGGGGGCCTCTGTCGCACGCACCATCCTCCTGCCTTGCCCCCAGGAGAGAGTGACATGCCAGCACCCTTTGGGGGAAATTGGGGGGGTCGTTCTGAGGTTCCCTCTTTTGCAGGGGGTCAACATTTACCCTTCTTTGCTTTCTCTCCTTTTCTCTCCCCCCCCTTCCCCACAGTGTTTTGGTGCCAAGAGCTGTCCTCGGCCTCCACCTGTTGACCCGCCTGCCTGCCTGCCCACCTGCCTGCCCAGTCGGCCGTGTCCGGTCGGTCGTGCCCGCCTCCCGGTGAGAGTCTCGCGGGCCCTCCAAGATGGCGGAAGCTCACCAGGCGGTGGCCTTCCAATTCACCGTCACTCCGGAGGGAGTTGCCTTCCAGCTGAGTCGGGAAGCCCTCAAGCACCTCTACCTGTCACTCCTCTCCTCCTGGAAGAAGCGCTTGGCTCGCCTGAAGGTGCGCTCTTGGCAGGGTGGGAGAGGTAGGGGGCTCCACCGGTGACCGAAGGGGCCACTGGGCGCTGGCAGGGTCCCGGTTCCCCGCTGCACCTCCCGTCTCCCTCTGGGCCCCTCTGCCCCCCCCGGCCCCTTTGGCCTTTCCGCCTTGGGCCTTGCTCTGACGCCGTCGCTTCCCACAGAACAGCATTCGTACGGGGGTGTTTCCCGGAACCCCTTCGGGCTGGCTGGCGGTCTTCGTCACAACCGTGGGCTCCATGTACTTCCGTGTCGACGTGTCCATGGGGATGATCTTCAGGGTCCGGAGACACCTGCCCAGCAGGTAAGGGTCAGCTTTGGGGCTCCCTCGCTCTCCGGCTCCAGCCTGGGCTCCTCAACCCCCCATCCCTGGACACGCAAGGCGGGTGCTTGGCTCCAGCCCACCGCCCGTGGGGTGGGATGGGGTGAGGTGGGTGGCCCAGGTTATGGTGAACTGAAACATGCCGTGGCATGCTTGGGGCCGAGTGGTGAGTCTTTATCTGGGGAAGTGCAGGGGCTTGTGTGTGTGTGTGTGTGTGTGCGCGCGCGCGCGNNGTGCGCGCCCACACACACACACACACACACACATACACACACACACACACACACTGGTGTGCGCATACCTTCTGTGTTCTCACATAGCTGCGTTGCTTTGGTTGCCTTGAGCACTGAATCAACCGGTGCCGTTGCTCGGGGATGTCACTTGGCGGGCTGTATCCTCCTTCTGCAAGGTAGCCTGGGGTGGGGGTGGGGGTGGGGGGGCTGTTCAGTCCTTAGCTGGCTTGCAAGCTTCCTGGGTTGTTTGGGACGCCGGAAGACCCTCCCTGTTGCTCCACTGATGGCCTTCTTTAGCACCATCCACCATGGGAGGCAGGCAGGCAGGCAGGCAGACCTCCCCTCGCAGGCTTCCTCTGGTTGCCCGCGTCTGGTCCCCGGGCCCTGGAGCACCTCCTGGCTCAAGGGACCAGCCCTCTGTTCCTGTTCCAAGAACTCCTGGAAAAGGAGTCACCCCGGAGGCATAGAAGCAGCCCAAGCCCTTCGGTCCCATAACTGGCGGGACAGCCCTGAGGGCCTCTGTGTCACCCGGAGGCTGGCGTGGCTCCTGGCACGCCCTCAGCATCCTCCTCCGCCTCCCTCTCTTTCCTAGCTGCAGCTCCTTGAGCCTCCACAGCCGGACCCTGCTGAGCACCGCCGTTTTCTCCACGGGGGTCTGGATTTCCGGCATCCTGCTTTGCCGTCAGACGCTCAAGATGCTGCTCTCCTACCACGGCTGGATGTTTGAGCCCCACGGCAAGATGAGCCGCAGCACCAAAATCTGGGTGGTGAGTCGTGCTGGAGGTGGGCTTGGAAAGGCCCTTCCCTCCGTGGCCCTGAGATCAGGGGGTCAGCCTCGACCCGGCGCCACGTGGCTTCCTGTGGTGGTGGGCAGGGCTGGCCCTGCCAGGAGGCGGAAGGCGGCATCCGTCTCCAGCAGCCACATTGGTGTGGCATGCCGTGGGAGTGGTTTCCTTTGGTGTGATGGTCTTTTCCTGGTTAAGACGGCGGTGGGGGCGGTGGGGGTGGGGGTGTCTGTAAAAACAGTCTGTGAACATCCATAGCGTTGGTTGACCCAGCATGAGTGGAAGAACATGCCCCCCCCCAAGCAGCGCATCGTCCAGTGCTGGCTGGCAGAAACCTGGCTGCTGACAAAGATTCCCTCCCCCCCCCGCTCTCCTTGCAGGCCCTGGTGAAGCTGATGTCCGGCCGCCACCCGCTGCTGTACAGCTTCCAGACCTCCCTGCCCAAGCTGCCGGTGCCTCCTGTGTCGGACACGATCCAGCGGGTAAAAACAAGGGGAGACGGCTGCTCAAGCAGCGAGGGTGGCCCTTCGTGATGGCCAGACCCAGCGTCTAGCTGGGAGGACCCGGACGGGGAGACGGGGGGGGACTAGCGAGGCATCGGGCCTCCCGCCAGACCCCCTTCTCTTTATGGGAGGAGCAGGGATAAAGGCACTTCCCTCACCCCCAGGCAGGCTGATGGCATGCCCCAGGTCCCAAAGTCCCCTGGGACGGACTCTGCAGGCTGTGGGGGTTGGCCCTGGCATCAGACGGAGGGTCGGCCCCAGAGGGAGTCGGAGGAGGGGGTGAACCCCCCGTTGCCCCAGCCCCTGCCCAAGGCTCAGCCTCCTCCTTGTGCCTGCAGTATCTCGAGTCTGTCCGCCCGCTGCTGGATGATGAGCGATACGACCAGATGGAGTCCCTGGCGGTGGAGTTTCAGTACCAGACCGCTCCTCGGCTCCAGAAGTACCTGGTGCTCAAGTCCTGGTGGGCCACAAACTACGTGAGTCCTTCTGCTGGCCCCGTTTCCCTCCCGCAACCGCCTGGATGTGCCTGCAGAGCCCAGGCCGGCCTGCCTTCTGGAGGGGGCCAGCTCCCCCCCCGCCCCGGCGCTGCTCACCAAAAGCAGGCCAGGGGTCCTGGAAGAGATTTCTGTGCTCTCTTGGCAGGTGAGCGACTGGTGGGAGGAATACATCTACCTGAGGGGAAGAGACCCCATCATGGTCAACAGCAACTACTATGTCATGGTACGTCCCTTCCGCTCTCTCCTTAATGATGTGGCAGGGAAGGGAAAGGGGAGCGCTGGGACGGCAGGAGGAGCTCCTTTAAGAAGACCAGAGAAGGACGGGGCCCCTGGTCCTGCCTGGCTTTCTTTCGGCACTCGCCTCCCACACTGCTCCAGGTTATTCACCCGTGGCAATGGGGGCTGCTCCGCTTCTAATCTGCCCCACCTCTCCCCATCCAGGATTTCCTGTATGCCATCCCCACCACCCTCCAGCCAGCCCGAGCAGGCAATGCCGTCCACTCCATCCTGTTGTATCGGCGCCGGCTGGACCGTGAGGAGCATGCCCCGGTGAGTGAGAGCCCGAGGGGGGGAGGGAGGGGTTTCCCCAACAGGAATGGGGGTCCCTGTTGTCGGAAACCCTTCTTGACCCCCTTCCTTCCCAGCTTTTTCGGATGCCCGTTTTATTCTCCAGATGTTTAACATGGGTGCAGGGAGGGGTTGCTTTTATTCTTATAGCTTCTCCGCTTTTATTGCTGGGTTTTCTTCTTTTATTATTTTTTGGGGGATCTCTCTGTTGGTTGTTGTGGGTTTTTCGGAGTTTTCTTCTTTTATTATTTTTTCGGGGATCTCTCTGTTGGTTGTTGAGGGTGTTTCGGGCTCTTTGGCCGTGTTCTCCAGAACCGTTAGATCCCGGCCATGAAAGCCTTCGTGAATACGACCTCTCTGTTCTTTTTGCATAAGGTTTTAATAGCTGAGATTTTTGGTTTTTATTGGCGGTGGTAGAAGCCACCTTTGACCCAAAGGCAGGGTCATAGAGGAAACCAGAGAGAAATAGCCTCTCTCTCTCTCTCTCTCAATCTCTCTCTGTGTGTTCTCTCCTGCCTCCAGGTGATGGCGCTTGGCGTGGTGCCCATGTGCTCCTACCAGATGGAGAGGATGTTTAACACAACGCGCATCCCTGGCAAGGAGGCAGGTGAGTGGCATGG